ACTTTGGAGAATCTTAGGAGCTCCAATTATACTAAATATTTGTAACAGGTTATAAGCTACTTCGTCAGCTTGTTTATTCCTTAATGGCCGTAAAATTGAGAATTTTGTTAAATGATCTTGATAATGTAGAATAAATTTATAATCTTCAAAACGTTCTTTCTGCATATCTATCAAATCAATCTGACCTCTAGATCCATAACTGCTAGATAGTAGAGGTTTAACAACCTCTGCCTTCCTTGTACGTCGACGACGTTTTAGTTGACATGTTTCACATAATGAAATAAAGAGTTTAATTTGTTTTAAGGTTATATTGGCAATTTTTTTCTTCAATTCTACATAAGTTCTTTTCTCCCCTCCATGTCCAATAGTAAGATGTGAATCTTTAATATTATCATAAATTTCACAGACACTAACAAAAACTTTTTCTTGCCCATTTTTCAAATATTTAGTTATTAATTTCTTAACACCATATTTGTAAATTACATCGTATCGGCGAATAAGAGCATACTCTTGAGGCGTCTTTGTAGTAATTTTATTCTTGGCTGCTTCAATTATTTCTATATAGTGTTTCAATTTTGTATCAGTAAAAAATAACCGTTTATTACAAAATTTTTGTGCAAATAATTTTTCTTCAAATAATTTTCTGTTGATTTCACTTGTACTTGTATTTGCTGGTGTATCAGGATCTTCATTGTCGTCGCTGTCACTATCTAACATTGTTGTCTGTCTGTCAAATACAGTTAGTTTGGTTAACACACCCAACCCAATAATCGATCTATCCGTGGGCAGTCTAATGGGAAGTGTGGTGCTACTTCATGTTGGGGAGGGGTATATATAGTTGGTGGGTATGAATAATTGGCAACTCCTTTTTCCCATTTGAAGGAAGCAAACTACATGTTACCTAGTTTTTAAAAGGTAAAGGTTGTTAAAGACAAGGTCGTTGTTTGAGGGAAGTAGCGTAACCCTCACCACCTTCTTCCTCTCACCTGCCTCTGTATCCCCCAAGTAAAAAGAAAATATTCTAAGAGAAAATATTCTTAAGTAATATGGATGTATGTTGTGGAAAACCTAATGGGTTTATAATTGGTATTTTACATTTAGTTTGGAGTGCATAATGTTTTGTTTTGCATTTTGTTTTACACCATAGACTGGATTAGGTAAGTTTTATCTGGTTGATTTAATAGATACCAATAATATAATTTTTCGAAGAATAATATAAAGATATGTTTTACATAAATTACATAAGGAAGAAAAAAACAATATATTATTGTTGCTAGCTAGATTTATTATTAGTTTTAATGTTTATTATCGGAAAAATTTAAAATATTTTATACATACAAATATTATCTCGTCGTCGGTCAATAAAAACATTGTTTTTTAACTCTATAGCGATAACGGCTGGGAGAGAATTATCACTAGAATCTGTTAAAGAACTACAGTGTCAAACCTTTATCCTAGGTAGAAAGTACTAAATGTAATAATTCTTTAACGGCAGGCATTATAATATTACACTGAAAGGAAATTTTTCTTTCTTAATCTTAAAGATCAGTCTTTTGTACCACCATTCAAAATTTCCTGTTAATTTAAATACTAAATATTTTTAACATTTTAATAATAATAAAATTAATTACAATCACAATCAGTTCGTTCACATTATAAAAATCACACGAATACGAAAAAGATAAAGGTTAAATAATACGTTAAAGGTTACTTATTATAACGAAATATTTTATAATTAATTAACACACCCACACAAAAACCCAATAATATTAAACGGATGGTTCATTTTTTTAATAAAGTCTGAAAGATACAAATTTTCGTTTAAAAAAAAAGTAACTGTTTAGATAATAATAAAATTAATACACAAATACGAAAAAGATAATTAGCCCCACCACCAGTCAAAATTTCCTGTTATTTGAACTTTCTTTGTAACATGTGGGGCAGGAATTTAAGTAATGCAGTCTGGTAGAATTGCCTGAGGGTAAAATATATTCAACAAAGGACACCGATAAATTACTATCTCTTAAGAATTCGGCAGCAGTCATTATCCTGAATAAAGTAAATACTCCTCCTCCCACCCCACTGAATTTTTTTTGCCTCTCATTGTAAATTAGACCAAATAAGTATATATAAAAATTAATTTCGTTTATATTGATTTTAAATTATTACAAAAGCATTAGTTACCAGATTTTAAATGTTATTATGTGGGGATTGAAACCGAGTGTGCTGTATTCCCGTCCACCTCACTGCTGCTGTAACACCATCTTCTGTCACCACAGTATCAGTATCATGCCTTCCACCGTCAGAAGTGTCCTACGGTTCAAGAAGCTGTCAGGGAATGCTTTAACTCCCAGTAAAGGTTCAAAACTGGCCGCCGGGTTTGACTTGAGCAGGTAGGGGTGAACCACCATTGTTGATCTTATGTCCATTTTCTTCAGTTGCTGTGATGATTATTGATGTACTGTACTTTACTGTAGGCTGTTTTTCCTTTTGCTTGTGTAATGATTTAATTCTTGGCTTTTTGCATCATGTGTGTACCACTGTTATTTTTCAATAAGACAGTCTGCTCTGATTTGGTGGATTATTTGAATGTTAATTTAGTTATTTTAACTTTAACTACGGGAATGAATATTTAAAGAGTGGCAACTTATTTCCCTTTTTCAGTGCGTATGATATAGTAATTGCAGGCCAGGGCAAAGCTCTTATCAAGACGGACATACAGGTAGAGTTACCAGAAGATTGTTATGGCAGGGTGGCACCACGATCTGGTCTTTCCTGGAAGAATCACATTGATGTTGGAGGTTAATGTCTATTTTGGGTTTAATTCATATATTAAGCTAGCTAATTTTGAAACTAAATATTACAAAATTTACCTTGTTTGTGTTTACTATAGGAAAGTCAAGTATACCTGTATGTATGTACTTTTAATTTCCATTTAGTAAATGAAGTTTGTGGAAATTATTGGCTTGATTTAACTCTGTCATGGCCAGTGCCTTACATGTCTCAAGAGGTTGGGTATGTTTCTTAATCTCACTTCTTGCGTTCTCATTATCATCATTTACGTTAAACTCTTGAGGTTAGATACACGTTTATTTGAGGCTACCCTTTCAGCCGGTGTTATTGACCGAGACTACCGGGGAAATGTTGGCGTTGTTCTCTTCAACCACGCCAAGACTGATTTTGAAGTAAAAAAGGGTGACCGAGTAGCTCAGCTCATATGTGAAAAAATCGTGTATCCAGATATAGAGGAAGTTGAGGTTTGTGTCAGTTTATCTTCTTTTTCTGTGTCTTGAGTCCAATATTTTAATAACCAGCCTTAAAGGTCTTAACAGTAACAAAGAACATACTGTACTGGTCAACATTAAATGGCCAATAAATTGATAGTGGTAGATCACCAAATACACATGCGAGTTAATGTTGTGTTAAATTCCCGTTGCTTGTTTACAAAGGCAATCAGCAGATTTACAGATTTTAAGAAGTATTATTGTATAATAGATGTTGAAACACATATACTGTACTCTAATTGCATTAATTCTTATGGGGGACAATTCCTCATTATGAAATGTTTGATAGGGACTGAGTATTTGAAAAAAAATAAGTTATAGAAATATATGTAATTAAATACAAAATAAGAGTATTAGGGACGGGAGTTGAAAAGGTTTACTTACTAAGCAACCAAGAAATATACAGTGTTCTGTAGAGCTAAGGCCTAGACTTTGGGATGGTGCAGTGGGGTTGTCAAGCATGGAGATCCAAGGTACTAATGATTATCCATTTTTCAGGAATTCGTGGACACAGAACGAGGTGCTGATGGTTTTGGATCAACTGGAATGAAGTAGAAAATCCATCCAGAAAATTTTATTAGAAAAAAAATGTTTCTGTTTATAAATGATTTTATATATATTTTGCTCACATATATTTTACAAAATGATTGGTGTCTAGATTCAATAATAGAGTTCAAAACTTTACAAAAAGACAGATTGTTATACTTTTTGAAAAGGTTTTGCAAAACGACGATAAAATCAAAATTTCGAAAAAATTTTAATTTTAGATTTCACACAACATGGATGGAAAGAAATGATGCATTTACAGAATGTCTAATGAATATTATTTTTGATAAATTTATTCAATTAGAATTATGTGTATATACACAGTATAATAAATATGTGAATATACATATTAAAATTTTAGCAAAACAAGGAAATGAAATATTTGCTCCTCTTTATAGTGAATTACTACTATGTCAAAGTAAAAAATATTCTCTTTTTTCCGGAGACATTTTTATAACATGTTATGCTAATGTATTTCTCCATATAATTGCTCAAGTTTTTATTATACACCATTAGAAAAAAGATGTATTATAGATTATCTTATCTTATGCAATTATTTTCCTGACGAAGAGGTTAAAATAATAGATCAAAGCTATTACAATCCAATATATTTTCCATCATTTTCTGATAACGATAATAGGGTTAAAATAATAGATGAAAAATATCACAATCCAATAAATTTTTCATCTTTAAGTAAATATAAACTTAATTTAATCTAATTACAATATGATAACTGGATGTTAAAATATGATAATGGAATGGCATTGGACTGTTTTTTGTTGTTGTTGTAAAAAAGAACATTATATAACTTTCTTGGATATTGTTTAGTAAATAAGAAACTATTATGTTTTGTTTGTAAAAAATGTTTTTTGTTAACACTAAGTCTAAATAATAAATGTTAGTCTTGAAAGGTTAGTGTTTTTCTTAACATTTATTGTCATCCATCCTTAAGAGTTTATAACCCCCCAAAAATATGTTGTGGAAAACCTAATGGGTTTATCATTCAGTGAAATTAAGTATTTGACAAGTATTTGGCATTTAGTTTGGCAGTAATTTATATAAGAGGGAAGGAATTGTATATAAAGAACGTACATACAAGTACTACTTTACTTTACTCAACCAGCTTAATCGTGTGTTTAAAGTGCAAGTAAGACAAGACCACAGCAATCCACAGAAAAATTTCAGAAAGTTAACAAGTTTCAATTTTTCACTTATAATAAATAAAAATATTTCTTTTACCAGTATAGAATATATATGGAAGGGAAGAGAGAGAGAGAGAGAGAGAGAGAGAGAGAGAGAGAGATAGGGAGGGATAAAAAGATAATTTGAAAATTTAAAGTTTCCCTTTATATAGCTTTTATTAGAAAAAAAATGTTTCTGTTTATAAATGATTTTATATATATTTTGCTCACATATATTTTACAAAATGATTGGTGTCTAGATTCAATAATAGAGTTCAAAACTTTACAAAAAGACCGATTGTTATACTTTTTGAAAAGGTTTTGCAAAACGATGATAAAATCTAAATTTCAAGAAAATTTTAGATTTCACACAACATGGATGGAAAGAAATGATGCATTTACAGAATGTCTAATGAATATTATTTCTGATAAATTTATTCAATTAGAATTATGTGTATATACACTACAATTTAAGTATAATAAATATGTGAATATACATATTAAAATTTTAGCAAAACAAGGAAATGAAATATTTGCTCCTCTTTATAGTGAATTACTACTATATCAAAGTAAAAAATATTCTCTTTTTTCCGGAGACATTTTTATAACATGTTATGCTAATGTATTTCTCCATATAATTGCTCGAAGTTTTTATTATACACCATTAGAAAAAAGATGTATTATAGATTATCTTATCTTATGCAATTATTTTCCTGACGAAGAGGTTAAAATAATAGATCAAAGCTATTACAATCCAATATATTTTCCATCATTTTCTGATAACGATAATAGGGTTAAAATAATAGATGAAAAATATCACAATCCAATAAATTTTTCATCTTTAAGTAAATATAAACTTAATTTAATCCAATTACAATATGATAACTGGATGTTAAAATATGATAATGGAATGGCATTGGACTGTTTTTTTTGGTTGCCTCCATATAATTGTAAAAAAGAACATTATATAACTTTCTTGGATATTGTTTAGTAAATAAGAAACTATTATGTTTTGTTTGTAAAAAATGTTTTTTGTTAACACTAAGTCTAAATAATAAATGTTAGTCTTGAAAGGTTAGTGTTTTTCTTAACATTTATTGTCATCCATCCTTAAGAGTTTATAACCCCCCAAAAAATATGTTGTGGAAAACCTAATGGGTTTATCATTCAGTGAAATTAAGTATTTGACAAGTATTTGGCATTTAGTTTGGCAGTAATTTATATAAGAGGGAAGGAATTGTATATAAAGAACGTACATACAAGTACTAAGCTTAATCGTGTGTTTAAAGTGCAAGTAAGACAAGACCACAGCAATCCACAGAAAAATTTCAGAAATGTCAGAAAAAGTAGTATTGCAGGAACAAATTGATAATTATAACAATGGAGAGGATAATAATGATGAAGACGAACAAATTGAGGTTTCAACTATTAATGACGAACCTAAACTGTGTAAACCACTATGGGAGTGCATAATGTTTTGTTTTGCATTTTGTTTTACACCATAGACTGAATTAGGTAAGTTTTATCTGGTTGATTTAATAGATACCAATAATATATTTTTTCGAAGGATAATATAGAGATAAGTTTTACATTAATTACATAAGGAAGAAAAAAAAAACAATATATTATTGTTGCTGCTAGCTAGATTTATTTATTAGTTTTAATGTTTATTATCGGAAAAGTTTAAAATATTTTATACAAATATTATCTCGTCTATAGGCCGTCGTCGTCATAAAAACATGGTCTTTTAACTCTATAGCGATCACGGCTGGGAGAGAATTAATATAGTATATAACTTTACATTGAGGGTTTTATTTGGTAACCCAGCCGCGAGACCCTTCCCTCAGCTATATACTATTCTCTTATTATAACACAACACAGACAGAGTAAGCGAGTATAAAATATTGTTACCGAATGTTGTTTTACGAATTTGGGAGTAAAAAAATTATACAACAGTCTCGATTATCACTAGAATCTGTTAAAGAACTACAGTGTCAAACCTTTATCCTAGGTAGCACTAAATGCAATAATTCTTTAACGGCGTGATAATATGACACTGAAAGGAAATCTTTTTTTCTTAATCTTAAAGATCAGTCTTTTGTTTCTAGAGAGAGTTACTAATCATGGATGAGGGATCTCCCCAATCCATCGAGAATAATAACTCTACCCCTAGATAAAGATTAACCAATAAAGATAATATCCCCTAACTAAAAAATCTAACTGTGTAAAAATTTCCATTTGGAGGTGTATATCGATAACAATACTAAAAAATATACCTAGTACTCTCTTTCTAAATTTTAATTTGTTTTCCTACTAAGTAAGGGTCCATATGTTATATTTTCAAAAATTAAAAGTATTGGTTGGGGGTATTAATCTAATTGACAAGACAAATCAAATCTTCCCCAGAGGAAGATAAGAGAGTTGCATGCAATTTTGGTTTTCTGGGGAGAATCCTTCTATAACAATCTTTAAAGATTTATTCAATCTTTAAAAATTAATTGTTATAAAAAGTTGTCCCGTATGGCACAGGATATTTACCCTATCCTTTTAAGCAGACTCCAGCGAAAACCTAAGAAAAGGTAGGACTGTGAATGAATCCACTGTAAACCAGTCCCGGTACACTACATTTGTCGACAATATAAATCAACCCGTAGGATTAAGTGTAATGAATGTTTGTTTTATTGTATACCTACGATTCTCGTACTTTGATAGAGTCCCTTTGAATTTCAAAAGAAATTCGACATCGATACCAAACGAGGAAAAATAATAATCAAGAACGTGGGTGGGTGTATGTGTGTAATAATTGTAACCTAATGATTGTTTCGCTCCTACAGTCTCCTTTTATATTATTGAAGACAATATAAGAGATGAGACTAAGGATACTGTATTAAAGTAAATATAAATGTTGGGTGGATGTTATACAATAGTTCACCAGTAAGGTTGATTTGACTTAGTAGTGGGTGTGTGCACCTATCTCTACATACGGATAAACACACATTTCAGTGTTTTTTGTATGTGAGAATCCCTTCTCTTGCAAACACAATTCCATATTAAATAAAAAAAATTAAAAAAAGAATTTGTGTTAGACTTAGGAATAAAAGATAAAAAAATAACCCCTTAACCCTGGACCTGTAAATTTATATGCCCTTGAATCCACCCTCTTTTTCCGGACCCTAACTTAATAGTTTACAATATAGATACTATATACTACTCGATATTTATTATCCTTGTGGTCTCAAGTTTATAAATATCTTTCTAATTTTAAAAATTTTGAATATATAATAAAATATTAAAACATAATCAACTACTACAACCTTACAAATTTTTTGTTGTTGTTCATGCATCCATTTTGAAATCTGAAAACATAAATCTGAAAAATAATGAGTCGAAGTCGAGTCAAAATTAATCCATCCACAATCTTTATCCCCCTATCCCCACCCTCATCCCCCATTCACTATAATTTCTTATCCATTTTCAGATATTTTTCTTACTCATAATATAAAAACAAAATAGTATCGTTTTTCCTTGCACCATCTAAGTATTAGTTTTACTAATTAAATTACATACACCCACACTCAAACCCAATAATATCAAACGGTTGGGTTTCCTTTTTTGTATAAATCTGAAATATAAAAATTTTATTTTTATAATTTAAAAAAAAATGCAGTTACCAAAATTAATTATAATTTCCTATCAATTTATCCATTTTTAGATAATTTTTTACTTCATACTCAATCTGAAAAGAAAATAATACTGTTTTTCCCCGCATGATCTAGTATCAGTTTTACTAAATTAAATTACACATGACACGAAAAAAAATAATACACCCCTACACCCAAATCCAATAATATTAAACGGTTGGGTTTCCTTTTT